ACGTCTTTACCGATGTGCCGGTACTGCCGGCAAGCTTGGCGCATGCGTGATGTCCAGGTGTGACGCGTATATATACAAGTGGTAATTAATGAGCGAGATGAGTCATGCGGATCAACGCGATGTAGATCCGCGGATAGAACTCCGCTCGATGTCCTGTTTACGAGATCCTCCCCTCCAAAGAGATCCAATCCGATTAGCATTGACGTAAAAAAATTGCTAGACCTAAATACGATTGCGTGACGACTAAATCATGGCTCCCTGGATTAATGATCTCGTGTTTTATTATCATCTTCCACATGATAAGCTCATATTTGGATCACGCATATTATGCCGTGCACTGCGTTTGCTCGGTAAAAGTTTATCACGTGATTCACAATATCGCGATTCTTTCACAATACATCATTATTATTATTGAACGTTTATACATATATTATACATTCATTATGCGGAACAGATAACAAGTGGCACACAGTCATTGTCGTTATTAGTCGATGATTTCATTTGGACTGCATCTGGCGAATAGATGAACTTTCCATTTGTTTAACAGTCTCGCAAATATGACGTGATGGTTTGATGATACATAATACCTTAATAGCACTTTTTATTCGAGAGACGTTCGTGGCAAACGTTATTAGGACATAAGGATATTTTCTGAATGTTCTTTGGAATGTTCCTTGGAGATCTATGTTATTAGGATAATAATAAATTGTGAAATAATAAACTTTCATTGGAAATTTCCTTCGCGAATTTCATCGATTCTGCTTGACCATTAAATCTTCGTCAATAATTTCAATTGAATTTACACGAATTATTCAAATCGATTTGTAAAACATATGCGCTTTTTTATACACTATATTTAATTTATATAGATAAGGAAGCACAGTTTGTGGAAAGGAAAACTGATCATGCAGATTGTTATCGTTTGATAGCAAGTAACTAGTTATCATCGGTTACCAGCTGTTGTTACTGAGAAATTCTCATGATCCAATCTCCGTGTTGACCCTCTGTAGATACACAAGAAATTTACAGTTTGAAAAGTACACTACTATTTTAGCAAGAATTTCTTTTCATTTTATGTAGATGCCAATATCGATTTTTTTTTATCCTTAGTACAGACGATTATTTTCTGATCCTTTATTACTTTTCATAAGTCATTTGTATCCTGGATTAATTTTCATCATTTTTACAAGTATAGAAAAATTATTAACTGATTCTTACATTATATAATTTAACATCTTTAGAGTATACTTATAAAATTAATATTATAAAATTATAAAATTACTATAATAAAAAGATATTTAAAAAGGAAAAGATAGAAACCAGTAAGTTAATCAGTAAATGTAAATTCTAGTATTAAAAAAGTAGTAGTAAATTCTAGTATTAAAAAAATTCATAGGATACGAATGACGAATCGTGTATTAATTAACAATTAATTTAATAAAGTATTTTTATCTCGAGATTATTCTTGAAAGATGTTGCATACAAAAAAATATTATGATATACTTTACGTATATTATAGATTTTTCAGATTGTTTTTGTGATATTTTTTGAAAATGAAAATCTTTTTTTCGCAATTAAAAAATATTTATCACAAAACTTATAAATATTTAAAAATACTTTCAACACCGCGCTTATCATTCCAGTAACACAATCTTCATTAGTATTACATAATGCGTTAATTGCGTGATTGAAAATAATTTATTCGTAGCGTATTAAAAATTGCGTACGATGTATACAAGAACTGCAAGCTCAAGATATTACGAAATGTATAATCGCGAACTGCAATGAAATGGCGTAGACGCATCTCGTTATTGCAGGGCGGCACTTCGTTCGTCTCTATTAACTAAGCTGCTAACGCATTTCTTAACAGCTGACAATTGACGTCAATTACCAGCTTTGCACCAGCAATTTATGCATTGACATTAAAGCCATGATTTGAAGGTAATAAAAAGAATAGAAAATTATTGATGACATCACGAATAATAGTATATAACATTAACAGTTGCTTAAACATTTTTTAATCCTCTGTGATAAATTTGGATCTCATATTTCATAATTAATTATAAGCTGAAATAACTTCGTCTTTTACCAATATTAATCTCAATCGTTATACGAATAAATATTTATCGTTATATGAAAATAAATTATGTACATTCATCTAACAACGTTTCTCTCTTAGACAAAATATTATTCAGAACCTAATACGAGTGGTGAAGGAACTAAGCTTGTTCAGCACAAGTGTGGTAGGTTCAACAATACACGTACATCGTCAGATGCACTGACCGGTTCCGAGGGGGCTTCATAAAAGCGCCAAGACTATGCAACACGACTATGCGACGAGATCTCGACGCTAAAGCGTGTACGGAGAGATCGATATTTAAAATATTTAACCGGAATCGGTTTATTTAGAAAAAAAAAAACAAAAAAAATTAATGGCTAAAAAATATCTGACTGGAGAATCTTGAGTTCTTAAACTCTCAAACGAGTTGTATTAAGGAATAATCCGCAATCTTGTTTTTCAATCACTTGTTACATGATGATTGCACCACTTTATCGCTTTGTCAATGCAGCGTGCGAGACGTAATCCCATATAGCTCCGGGGTGTTATGGAGTTTCAAGGAATCGCGGTGATGTCTCAGTTGTTTCCACGCGCATCGCATGTCTGTATACGAGTTTCCTCCTCACGTCCGGCGTTCCTTGAAACTGGTCCCGACCGTGAGCACCAAAGTCAGAGCGGTCGCTGGCCTTGTATCCTTTCGTACGGATGTATCTCGGAATAGAGCCTTGCTCGATTTCCAGAGCGAGAACTCATTTTCAAGTGGGACCGAAAGGAATACTTGCAAAAAGAGTGACAGAAAGCACGTCGGATATTATCGTACGAAAGCAAATAAAACGGTACTTTATTTTTCTCTCTCTCTCTCTCTCTCTCTCTCTCTTTCTTTCTTTCTTTCTATCACAGTTGAGACTACGAAATACAAGCACAATCATATCTCACATCACCAACAATAGTTAGAATATACATATACATACATTTATAATATATTTATAGCCAACAAATAAAAGTCAATCGACGAAATATCGTCGCGATAAAAGAAGACGTTATCTTACAGTTTATAGAAAGAACGAATGAGCAATTCCTGAGAGCATGCATGATAAAATATCCGAAGTGACCAGTATAATAAGATAATTAGATATTCAATATATCGCAATGTAGTACGATATGTAAAATTCGCCAATATGACACTAAATAATATTTACGACTGTCTATTTTAAGCGACTGTTGACGCTCGAGACTTGCAACGTACAATTCATTTTATCAATTCATTTTAATCTATAAGAAATTACTTTCCTCTCTTACGTTCATATATATATATATCAGATATTTTTTATAAAAAAAAATTTACCAGAAAAAAACGTTGGATTAGCGGAAAGCATTTTCAAGAAAAAACTTAGATTATAAAAAAAAATCTTTAAAAATCATACCTTGTCATTTTTTTTCGATCAAAGAAATAAATAAATTTCGTAATTACTACAATTCTTTTTTTACAATCTTAAGGGTTTTCTTTATCTCAATTATCTCATAGAGTTAATTGGTTTGATTTTTGAGGATCTTTTAGCTTTGGACAATGTCAATGTTATTTGTCGCTACATACATACCGTCGAAGTTTCATCCGCGATATAACGGATATATCTCGCACTTGTTGCTCGACGTGCGATAAACTTTGATTATATCGCGCAAATATTTTGACAGAGAGCTAACTACATTAAGCACATAAGGCTTGAATGAAGGCGTACGATGCTTCCCGGGGGTCTTGCCCTTGTCTCGCGTGTCAACAGTAACGTACACGATTTATAAATACGATGCTATAAACAGCTATCTCTTTTACGTCGCGCAGTATGTAACTGCATCCAAGATAGTTGTACCTAAAGCCACTCAAAGACGATACGATGTGCCTCGGATCGACCGAAACAGAATCCTCATCGCGCGATACACATAGTACACACAAACACACACACACACACAAATTCATGATTCGTCATTAATATCTATCGATCTAACATGTATAACGCGATACATAATGAGACTTACCGCGCAGCGAAAATAATCGCAATTATCGTTGTATTTTACTTTATTATCGTTCACGCGTTTATACGGTACAGGCACGAATGTTCTCGGAATTCCATGTATGTGTTAGTAGCGGTTTCTAATTAATTAACGAGAAAGCGATATTCGCCGTACGCACGTAAAAGCGGATGTTCTAACGTTGTTAGTCTACTTTTTACTCGCAATTGCTCTTGGATTAAAATGAAACACGCTTTGTGCACGTATACTTATACATATTAGCCATTATTGCGGTGTCCTTTAATGAACGAGCTTCTTCTGTTGAAAACACTCGATAAGATTAAATATCCATCTGACGCTCTGCACTAATGATTCAAGACAATCACGTTTGAAGAAAGGATAAGTTGATGATAACTAGCGGATAAAAGACAATTAAAATTAACAGCCTATTATCTCAGAGATACAATACATCCAGATAAACATTCTAAATGACATGAATGCGAGTTCATCATCGATTATGTTTCTGAAAATTATGTTGCTAAATTGATTGTGTTGCTAAAAGTCAATAATTATCTGTCATTGCTTTCTACAGAGTAATAAAATGTTTTTTTTCTTTTCAGCGTAAGTTCTTCTAATGATTCGCGTAGCATATCGTCGAGAAACATTCGACTAGTCAGGGAAGTATTGAAAAAATTATGAAATTTTAATAAGTATTTTTGTTTGAATGGCTCTAAGTAAATAAATATTTACCCAATATATACCCAATATAAATATAATATATTTATATATTTTTATATATTTATATTTGATACAAAAACTGTTAATTTTATTAATTATTATTTCTTATTATTTTTTTCAAATAAATATTTATTTATATAACTAAATAGTTTATTTAGTGCTATTAAAAAAAATATGTATTAAGATTTAGTAATTTTTTTTTTCAGTAGGTAATATTTTGTTTATTTAGAAGCAACATGTCGATAAAAATTAAACGCGCTGTGCGGGTATAAAACGAAGGTACGAATTATCTGTGTGAAATTTATCATTTTTACAGAATAATATGAATTTTATAAACATTTTGGTTTTGCGTTCATTTGAATTTGAATGATTCTGCAATAATGGTGCCAGCTGGATTCTAAAGCCTACTCATTGTTAGGTTAAACTGCGTTAAATAACATGAGAATATGCGGAGCTAAAGCTATCAAATATTCTCAATACGTTTCCGCGACAGGAATTTCCTGCTTGCAACGGAAGTCTCTGTCAGCGACGGAGTCAATTACGAGAAAGCAACGAGGCGAGCAGAAAGCCGTACCTCGCGTTTCGCGAGGCGAGTCTTCGTTGATTAATCGAAAGGCACGTTGAACGCTGCGGTTCGTTAGCGACTACATCGGTCGTCGCTACGCGATCGATGATTTCTCAAAGAAACGCAGAAAAGTTAAAAAAAATCATCCGGTCTTCTGTCTCTTTCTATCTCTCTCGTCTCTTCTTATCTTCCGGGCGGGGGCCGACCCTCAGAAACTGCCACACTCTCGCAATACGCGATTTCCTAGCGGCAACGGTGGACGGAAGTTGTTGATCACCTGCGGAGTGTCAGAGAAAAAAAAAAAGATCGGGATTATATAAAAAAACGAGGGCGTGTCGCGGTGCTTCGTCAATTCGAAATATTACACATTCCCGCTGGCCGCCGGGACGACGACGCGGTGGTCGCGGTCGTCGACGTCTAAGGCGTTCTGAACGCCTAAAAATAGCCGTCAACGGCAGTACTCGCGTATATCGAGCGAAAGAGAAAGAAAAAAAAAAAAGAGAAAACGCCGATTCGCTGCGACGATATGCATCTCTCGCGGCAGGAAAATGGTAATCGCGTCGCCGCAGAGGCGTTCGCCGTGTCATGTTCATCGCCAATCGGGATTCATTTATCAAACCGAGTGAAGGATATATTGAGGGGAAACGATACAGAGAATTCTCGTAACCGTTTTAGATGAGAGACAGACGACAAGCTGTCGCACTTCGCGATATCCAGGGGATTGACCGGAAATAAAAAGGAATAGCGTCGCGGAAACGGAGGTATGATAATTTCTCCGTGACATTTTTCTCACTTACCACCCCGTGATTCTCGTGGCAAGGGCACTCCTCGCCACGTGGGAACTTTCGCAGATTGCGGAAGATGTTGAGCTGATGATGGGACACCTCGATGTATTTTTTAAAGAGGATCCAAGTGACGCTCTCGTTGCACGGCGGCGTCGTCAGCGAGCCCAAGTACGTCCAATATCCATTGTCGTCTAAGTCAGAGAAGAATTGAAATAGTTTTTTGCATTCGTGTGCGCGAAGATGAAACGAAAAGAAATTTTAAGTGACAAAGAGACATACAGAGGTGCGATTGCACCTTAAATCAACAGTAGCATGCCGTTAAAGCTAGCGTGACGTAGATTATATTATTTTGATCGCGCGTATTTTAAAACAATCGCGTTTGTATTGTGATTTTATCTTCCAACGTGATAAGATTATTATCAAAAAATACGTATCGAATTTCACTTAAAAATTCAATTGTATCTCGAAAGCGATATTTTTGTGACGTCTTTTAACTTGAAATATTTCCTTTCCTCTATTTATATCCTGTGTGAGTCGTACAAATCGCAATAATGGAGGAAATTGCTCAGAGAATGGAATTATACGGTTTGATTAATGTACTGTCTTTTGAAGAAGCATATTTCGTGTAGTGCGAACCTTCTATTCGTTTTATCTTTCGGTGTTATCAATAATACGAGCGACATTGTTCCGAAATAATATATTAATAAATAATTCTAATGACGACACTACTAGGTGAATATCTGGATGAGATCTACATATGTACAATAGTTGAAATATAGCTACGTATACACAACATCGCTTAGGAAATATACAATAAAATCTAGTTGACACTAACAATAAACAGAAATTGTGAGGATATTATATTGACGTGCTTGATATTCATACACAGATAAATACGTGTGCAATAAAATGGGAAACCTCAATAAATTGAAAACAATAGTTATAGATTACATCGCGAAACTATACTCACGGAAATAAATTTCTTTTATGTCGGGATATGAAAAAAACCAATTACTGCTACGACGTGCATCGTCGCATCATGCCAATCATCCTGTGACATGCGTTTATTTATCCCGATCGTGCGCGTTCGGCATGCAAGGCTTTCGGAAAATTGGAAGCTCCTTGAGAATTGCCTTGAGAAGACATAGGATAATCGCGCTCGAGGATTTTCTTATTATTATTATTTTTTTTCTCAGGCGTTGATGAAAATCGGGAGCCCCACGCTCGAGCGCGCAGCATCTCAAGTTTCTCTCTCATTTTCTCGCATGAATTAGTCCAAGGCGATACGAACCTTGGAAGTCCCATTTGTTCTCGTGACGTGGTATGATTCGGTCGGCCCAGCGCATACACGGATTCACGCATCTCTGCGTGCCGGCCCGTCCACCACGCACTGTGCGTGCCGTGCCGCGTCGCGTAGCGAGAGCATAGAGCATATGCGAGAGATATTTCGTTAGTCGATGAGTTAATGCAGAGGCACGTGCCAAGTAATTGTTAACGACGGTTTCTATCATCTCAGGGACGGTTCTACTTTGGCACCGTACATTGTTTTGCTCTAACTTGGTTGCGATGAGTCAGGAGACATTGTAAATATTGCGTATATATGTATAATATATAATACAAAAATATTATACATTATTGTAAGTATTTTATATTTTATATATTTAGAAATAATATATATATATATATATATATATAAATGTTTATATATATAAATAAATTGGATAGATGAGATGAAAAGAATTTCACTTGACTAATTTCTGATTTCGCAGTCCATCAGAGATGTTTTTTGTTCAAATTAATTAATAAGTTAAGATACCTATAGACTACGTTAAGATTGATTCGATTCGATTAACTTGCGCAAATAGATTTAAGCTACAATTGAATATTACGGGAGTAACAACAAGAACATATATCACGAACACTATGCATCGACGAGTAGACGGAATATTTGATCAAAGAGACGATCACCAAATTACCGGACGATCATTCGGTCGTAACTTACCAGGAAGAAGTTTACCAGGATCGATAGGTTCCGTAATTCCTACAACCTCGTCCTTGTGCGAGACGTATGGCAACAATCGCGCAATCTTGTCCATTTCTTCATGAGTCTTGCCGACCTAGAAGCAAATCTCTTTCACTTTTCTTTCTTTTCGATTACAATGATACGCTTTTTCACGTGGTTGAGACATAATCAAGCCGTTCTCTCTGAAACCCTAACTATTCTCAATTAAATCTTCAAAAAAAAAAAAAAAAAAAATTTAGCCAATCGTTAACAGGCTCAAGAATTCATTGCGAAGTTAAAAGATCCCCTTATCGAATATTTTTAAGTATAGCGATTGTAATGACCGCAAAGCTGCATGCACGAGGAACAAATAGGCGCGATAAAAACGTTCGACATTGAGCCATTGATTACGTAATGTCATTTTTAGAATTGTGTCTGGTGCATTGTCACCGTTACACGTGGCACATAAATTTTCTTCGATACATGTGTCCCTTGCGTTCTTATGCGACATATCTCGAAGTAGTGCGACATTACATAATCGCGATGCACGCCGCGAGGAAAGCTCGTGTCACGAAGTCTTTTTGCTCTCCGAGGATTATTATCGCGTTCGTGTTTTTGTAACGCAATGTCGCATCTTCGCCGGCGAGAAGTGTATCATTTGCACGAATAGAATTTTGCAATTGCGACCCTCGCGTTCTTCATGAGATATCGCGAGCCGCGCAGCTGCAACCTAAATATTAGACACACAAAGCGCTGTGCAAAGCGGAAGAAGGTAATTGCTGTTGCACGCGATCGAGGTATTCTTTCGCTACAAAACGAAATGCAAACGATAGCGTCGCATACGCGTCTAACGAAAACGTGCATTTTGCGTGTCTCGTTTCGAGTCTGATACAACGACGGCGTAATTATGTTTGCGTCTCTTGTTTATATAATCGATGATCGACGGTGACACTTCTGTAATCTCCACAGGGATTCTGCTTGTGCAGCTTATGTCTTATGTAAAAAAGCTTAAATGACTATAGATAGATTCATATACGACGAATATAAACGAATTAGAATTCCAAGTGGAAGAGGTGTGGCTTCTGCAGACATGTATACTTGTATGATATTTGACGAATTAAGGTATTAAATATTTCAGATGCTATCACTTTCCATAAAAACTAAGATAAAAAACATAATTTTTTTAAATATCTATATTAGTGTAAATAAATTAGAATAGAGTTGTAATTAGATTTATTCTGATTGTATATAAGGAAATTTTAATTATTATATCATATTATATTATATTATATTATATTTTATTTTAATTATATAAATTATTTTTAATAATTATAATTTCATTTAATAAAACATTAAGACGCTACGAACCTTAAGAAAGACTCCCAGAACGGCCAGACCGTCAGAAGCTTTCGCAGCTTCGGTGAAGGTCTTGTATTTGCTGGTATTCCAGTGCACAAGATGTAACTGAAAGCAATGTTTTTACACTCCAATGAATCTAAATCGTTGCCTATTAAGTCTAATAGCAGACAATCAGAGAGGAGCGGAATGGCAGGTTGACTGGAGCTAACGAGTACTTAATCCCTCCAAATAGCCAATTAAGAAATGTCAATTTCTGTATTTGTATCGTCAAAGAATGATTTATTTTTGATATTCTATTCTATTAATTAAATCTTGTCTTGTCTCGATTAGCTTTAACATTTAAAATATTCTTCTTGACCGCGATTTACATTACTCGATCGCAAAGAAACTCTATCAGCATCAATAAATGATAATTGCATTTGACGGGTAGTCGTTAGAGAAATTATGTAATCAGTGCGGTAACTAGAAACTCTTTCTGAAATCCCACGGATATCCGTGCATCCGATCGACCCGGTTTCCCAGATGCGGAATCGTTATAAGATAGTTTATATCGCCGTGTAGAGTCTCGCGATGGAAGGAACGTTGCGTCGCAAGATTTCCTGACTAGGAAGGAGCGCATCCGAAGGAAGGGAGGACGTGCGTAGTATTTGAATGCGAAGTCATTACGATAATCAAATGATTCGCTAATGCGTTTAAGACTGGATCGTTTAAATTAACATTGAGTTCGGGCCGGAAAGTCGCCTGTTGCAAACAGTGCATTGAATTCCAAAAGAAGTCGTAATCGTTCAGAAAAGGAGTTTCCTGTCTGAATTCATATTCGAGATGCATAATCTTAAACTTTGTTGATTGACGATTATATCTATTACGTATATTGTATATCAAAGAAATTTTCCATGCGTCAGACAGTTATCAATATTTTCTTGATCTTTTCTGATGGCAGGTCAGGTTGAAGTCAACTATTTATAATAGATTAAAGACCTGATTGCCACGTATCCGATTACATAATCAATAGCGACTTAATCGCGAGTTGAGCGAAACCGAATGTATTTTACGCTTGTGAGATAAGTGAACAAGATCGGGCGAGCTTCCGAGACAATAGGTAAGCTCGTCCATCTCGGAATCATGTCGGAAATCTTGTTCAGGAAACACGCAATTTTCATTCGGCTCATTATTAGTTATCCTTTTTACTATTCACGAGTGGGCGTTTGTTCAAGAATTCCTTCGAATGTCTAATGCGTACACGTCGTTACGCGAGTCAGCTATTATTCGCGCACACGAGTGGCAATTTCGATGATAATGTTCATTATCGTTTCACCTCCGTGAGCGTTCGTTATTTTTTTCCTTAGTCGCAAACCGATAAAAGCGTGGCTTTGTGGTGAACTGCACGTACAGCTGCCAGAACATAAAAAAAAACCTTTGACACGTCGTTGGCATTCTATCAATGCGACGTGTATGACGGTAATAGCGTATTATTTATGAGATAAATGAGACGCCCGCGTAATTATATTATTAATGTATGTCTGTTAGTAATTAGAGTCTCTGTACCGCGCTTGCACACTTCATCAAGTTTTATTTATATCCGCAAAAAAAGAGCCATCTCTCTCGCATCGCTCATAACAGTGTTGTGGACGACTAATAACTAAGACTAGAGCCTCGGTTTATCCTCGGTAAAATGATCATGCTAATAAATCGCACACGGCGGTTCTCGGACAAGGTCGATACCATAAGCTCCGTGGATGATCTCAAACAGAATGAATCATACTCGATGTGACTGAATTGCTAATAAACTGCTTTGGCTATCAAGTGGGACGATTGCATTCGTCATTTTTGAGTCGTTAAAATCCAGTTAGCCGAGGTTCCAATGGTTCCAAAGAAATAAGCGAAATAAAGACGCTTTGGGAAGAGATAATTATATTTCATTTCTTTTATACCTCTAATTATGTTTTATACCTCTCCGGCGAAGGCTTGTCCGTCGACCGTATGTTCGGATCCCCTGGAATCGCTGCATCCCCAGTGACAGTGATATTGCTCCAACTTGTAGACGTCGTCCATCAGCGGTCCGCCGCTCAAAACTGTCGATAACAAAAAAAAAATCGAGATATAATATTAGATGACATACGGTAATACTGCGAGATAAGATGCAAATGAATGGATAAACGTCTAAATTGGATCCACGTAAACGTGGAAATTTTCGGAGCACGATTCCTCGAGTCACGAACAGACGTAACGTCGGGCTAGTGGCACAGACCGCTTTATTACAGGATACGCTTGATTAGCCAAACCACGCGGATGGGAGCTATAACGAGAGAAGATCATTGCATTTGTACCGCGTGACTTATTTGCGTCACGGCGTATTTTATTATTTTGTGTCTCGCCTCTGTTTAGACTGCGATAATAAATTGTTAGAGAAAATTCGGAGCGCCAAGTCTACGTTCTCTCTCGCGGAATTTTCCGAGTGTAAATAAGACTAAAATTATTGTGTACGGTAGGTGTGTAATAAAAACTTTCACGACATGTATTATGTGAACTCTGAAAGTTATTTCAGATCTAAAAAAAAGAAATTTTTAAACATGTCGCTTCAGCAAAATTATATATTATTTTAAAAATTATATATTAGTATATATATACATTATATATTCTCCTTCTTATTTTTTGCAATTTGGAATAATATTGAAATAAAATTTTCCTATGTTGAATTCCTCGAAAGGTCTCTGCTTGTAGCGACTGTCTGCGAAGTTACATCGTGACTTTATTATCGCAACATTCTATCTATTGTTTTGTGTCACATATTGTTGTATAGAGCGTTCTGCTCCGCTTCGTGCACACCACATATGAATACACATAATGCACCACGGCACGGTCGTCCTCATTTCGAATATGCCCCGAGTAGTCGGCGAAGGTAAAAGCCCTCCCTAAGTGGCACGAAGTCGACAGTGAAACCTTCGTAACGATATACGAAGATCGGGGTATAGTCGCGCGAGAATTCTCCTGTAGCCGCATGTAATTTCGGGATACATAACACCGTGACAAAACAAATCGCATCGCGTTCGTTCCTTATGTAACGTGCATGATGCACGAAATTAATAAAAAGCATTATGTAACGTATTCATGTGGAAAGAGAATTCCTTTATATGGCTCGCTACAAAAGCTGCGAATTTAACGCGGCTTTAATCGCACGGCGTATTCACTACCGCTGCCAACATTAATGTTTATATAAATACACTTAAGATGGGATGCGAGGCCGAGTATCACGAACACAATCATCTAAAATTATATTGAATCACTCCATCACTGGATTACAAACGTCGCTACGCGACGGTTTCGCAACGCGTCGCACTTTGCAGCCGCGATGATCTGCAATTCAAAGTTTAGACCGCAAACGCAACTCCAGATTTCCCCTTGCGAAAAAATTTGTTCGCTCACGTATTTATACGAAGTGTTGATCACCTCATGATCATGGATCATTAAGAATGTATTAAGTGTATAATCATAAATATATCATAAATATATCTGCAAAAAGTGGAATTGGAAATGTATACCTCCCGTACAAAAAATAAATGTATATATATTAGGTGTTGGAATTAATTCGTAGCGTTTTTTAATGAAAGAATGTTATTTATTTCACATGAGCATTAAAAAATACATTAATGAAAGTACTTCCCATCACTTGTAAAACGCTACGAATTAATTCCAACACCTAATAGATGAAACAGTTAACAAAGATTAATATTTACATTTAACAATACAATTTTGATTTAAATGAAATTTTTATCATTTCATCTTAATTATTTTTTAAAAACGGCTTCTAAATTGCCAAAAACTTTTTATATTATATAATATTATACTTTCAAACACAATATACAGAAAAAAGTAATTTTTTAATAATTCTTTTATTTTGTTAAAAAATACATTTAATACATTCTTAAATTACAAAATTATGTATCCGTAATAGCGATGTTTTTTGGATGTTGTTCGTGCCACGATAAATCGTATAAATATTAGTCGCGCAGAAGGCAAAAGAGAGAAGAGGTCTATGTGAAAAAAAAAAAGATAGAAGATTTCGCGATTCTAAATTGCTATACTCACATGTGCCCTCGCCATCGGTGTCCACTCGCCAGCAGTAACCGGGATTGACCAACTTCCTGGATGCTGTGGCGGGATATTTCCAACGCAGGGGCTTGCTACTTAAAGCCTCGTGATCGGATTCCACTTTCTTGGTCTCGATGTTTACCGGGCTTTGCCTGGATCCGGCTGCCATGGGGAATTTCGTTACCCACGTGCTGGGTCCTGCAACGTACATACGCCAAAATTTAAAAAATAAAAAAATTAGCACAATGTCATGGCTTACTTCGAGCTTTAATTAAATTAATTTTGAATTAATATAATTAACAAACGTTTCGGCTTACAAAGCCTTCCTCAGTGTTACAACGCAGAAATATAATCTTAAATTAATGCACAAAGAATAACGGATACAATGAAAATTTAAAAACCAATGATGAAGTGAAAATATAAAAAAATATAAAAAAATTTCGAACGTCAATAAATATCCCGCCAGATGACAATAAAGTAGGAACATTTGGATACTTCAGTCAACAGTAGATTAATTATGTTTATCGATAAAGATAGATTTGTCAAATTCCTCGGTTGAGATCGAGAATTTAATCACTTGTATCATACGATTTGAGAATTCTTTAGTTATGAGTATTTTATGATATTGATAATTTATATATATAAAATACTGCAATCTAAACTTTCAATCAAAGATTTAGTTAAGTACATTAAAGATACTGATTGTTGCTCGTTTGCAAAAAAATTAGATTACATTAATATTAACCGGATAATGAGTATCAGTGCCGCAAACAATGAATTTCAACGAATCTATTTCGGTGATAAGAATAGCAGACATAAGATAGACAATCTGTGTATTCCTCTTATAATCGCTTATAATCAATCCTTATAATGAATATGTTGCGATAAGAATGTGTATATCGTGATAACAAGATAGTACTATTCGATGATATGAGCTCAAGCTCAAGAGAGCAAATGAAGAAAGTTCGCACGCCAAGCTCTTGAACAAGAAACAAACTCTTTATCACGGTGCACGTCACGTGCTGATAATAGATTCAAGTTTACACTTATCGAAATTCCGGTCTACATGGACTACCTTCATTACTATATAAAGTCTATTCTTTCTATTTAATGCACATATGCACAATGAGAATAACATTTGCAAGAGCAATAACATTTATTATATTACGATTTAACGAGGCAATAAGCGACTTGAAAATAATTCATGTCACGAAGGCTGCGTCGAAATTATATATAATTTATTGTATATTCAATAAATTAAAAATGTTATTATAAAAATTAGTATCTGTGGATATTAGACTGAATGTCAATTTCGACAACAAAAAAGAGTTGATCAAGCATATTATAATAATCTCGTGTATATCTGGTGACGTGCGTCACGTGTCGACATTAATCTTTCTTTATTAGGGCACGTGATTCCAACGCTGTTTGCTTTGTAATTTATAGATGTTGAACGTTTTAACATTCGAAAGATCGAGAGAGCTAAAAAGAATTAACACACGAATTAAATAAATTGATCGATTAATTAATGCTAGAATGATATTTGTAACTGTCCGAACTATCACTGATTTCCGCGAAATCACATTTAATTATGAGGTCATCATGTAATATAGTATATTTGTGCGAATCACATAAACAAGCATTATATCACGTGATGACTTCGTAATTACCCGACTCGAAGTTGCGGTCAATTAATCGTCATCAGAACTCAATTAAATTCGTGGAATTAAATTAATTTTGATTCATTTCGTACTACATGCAAATTATGGAGTTGTATATAAGAAAAAAATGAAAGAAATTTTATATATATATATATATATATATATGTGTGTATATAACTCATACAATGTAAATTATCCAAATACATTAAAAAATATACCATCAGGAAGATATAGAAAAAGAAAACTTGTTTAAACGGTTAATTATGGTAAATAATTACCATAATAATATAATAAAGCCATTATGTAGAAATATCAATGTGTTCTTAAATTTAGTCCTCGTGACAATATTTTAGCGTATTTATACGATATTTTGCTCCGTCTGTAAAATGAAAACTTGGAACTCCACAGAATGAGACAAATTAGTCATTCGTGTAAGAAACCGTCCGCAGCATTGAAATTGGCGTCACGTGAATTCTCATTGAAGGATAGCTCCGTGATAGTAATAAAGCAGCTGTTTATCCGGTTCGATCCGAAAAATACCGCAATAACGATACGCACGTTGATCAGTTATCTAGCAAGCAATGATACGAGCCCACATTGTTATGCGGATTCGTATTGTTTGCTAGATAACTGATCAAAATGTAAATTATCAGTGGGTTGCAAACATCGTGAAAACACTGAATGAAGATAAGTATAATTAGATAATCTATATTTTGCTAACAGTAATTCTCTAGCAATTATATATATATATGTACATCCTAGATAATTTTAATACTTAAATATACATCTAAATCACTCAAAGATTTTTCTTTCTATTTAATTTATTATTCTCAAAAATATCATAATTGAACAATGCAAGTATTCTTATAAGATTAATCAAATATCAATCATTTCGTATTGTGCAACACAAAGGATTTATCCGTTTATTAGAATTGAGAATACAGAAGATTCTTCATTCATTAAAAATTTAGTTTAATCTCAAGTTTAATCACAATAATAAATTATTATTCTAAAAAAAATGACAACAACATCATCAAATGTTATTGCCATTGAGAGATCACAACGATCTATTAATGCTAGTCGACGAGTCGGCTCGAATCTTTGTTGAAGATAGTAAGAATGACGCTCGTTTGAAGGTTCACTCAACCTTGTGATGTGATGATTCAACGAATCACAGGAAATACTGTAAAGTTGAATGCGGAAAACCGTGAATGCATTTGGTAAATATTTCCCTTTCTCTCGATATCGCAATTGTTTTGTGCCAATCAAGAAGCTTAGTACATCTCTCGCATAAACACGTGTACATTTTTCACGTATTTATTAATGGGGCTGTCAGCCCTCATTATCGAGGACTCGATATTACATACAAAGATGGTCATTTAATGACAGAGCCTCGCATTCCGTCACACATCATTCCGTCACGCGATATTTAGATATCTCCGTCATGAGATCTCTTTTCTTATTACATTTTATTTATATCCTTAATGCGCGCTGCGCATTATTATTAGATAGTAAAAAAATTCTATTCAATATTCACGAATCGCGGATCAAAAGGCTGCGGCGCAGGTCGATCTTCCTTTTGAACGGCGACTCTTAGCCGTTAGTAGTAAGCGAATATTAATGCTGCTTTAAAATATACGACATATTTAACCGTTAGAGAAAGAGAAGGGATAACTCGTCGTTGATATTAACGAATGCAAATAAATCATTGTGAGTTTCATCTGTGCGTGCATAATAAGCACACACCTAGCATGGCGGTCATCGGTCGGTGACCAATTTGCAAGTAAATCGTCGCGAATGAAGACGCGACCGCGCGATTATTTCGAAAGAATTTCTCCTGCAATTCTCCGATTGTAAACTTTCTTTCTAGCACTCAGACTCATCGATATTCCCACGCATCCGACACGATATTTATGGCACGTTGATGATTCGAGTAGAAAACACGTCGATTTTCGTGATTTACGTTGTAACATGTGATTTACGATACACAATCGTGAAATATCATCATCTTCACGCACGTAATCCGTAAATCGTGGAACAAATAATGCACGAAAGATGGTCCCCTGACTAGGTAAAAATACTTCTTATACATAATTCACAAATCGCAAAACATAGTTCGCAAATGCTGACGTAGAATGACGATCATCGCACGTAAGATAAAAACCAATCGTATGCCATGAAAAAACAAACGTAAATCTTCATTCTGTGTCTGCGAACTACGTTTTGCGATTTGCAAATTATGTTAGAGTACCTTAAATAAATCCTCGCAAAATCTTCAGAGGTTTGAGATTTATCATACAACTTGGTAAAAATTACAAAACTGAACGAATTTATCAGAATATTTATAATTTTATTGATCAACATCTACTCTCTAAATTCTTTGAAGTGGAATCTTACTTTAAAAAATGAAAATTGAGTCAAAGAAAGAGTGACTTTTCAATTTTCAATCTTTAAAAGTAAGAATTCATTTTTCAGAGTGACAATTTATTCTAAAAGCGTTAAATTAAAGAGTAGTGATTTGCTCACTTTAAAAATTATCGAGCTGCGTGATGTACAATCGAACCGATCATTCGAGTTTATAAAATTCTTAGATCGCATCTGTAGGTGTTGTTCGAGAGAAACTAGAACTTTCTTTTTTTTATTCTTAACGTAACAATGATAGTACTTTCTATTTGTATCCAGGATGAAATTCTCGATTAAAATCACAATCGCCTTAGGCGACAACCTAAATCGATAGGAAGTATCATGATAGCACGTGGCATTGTATAACACATGAAAGATCTCTCATCAGATTCTCTAAAAGCCATCAATTTTTATTAATTTTTATTAATTTTTCAATCTACTCCCTCTATTTATTTTTCTAAAAAAATTATCTCGATTTCGACTCGATTACGACGAGCGCGTCAATCCGTTAATTAATTATTACGGCTTGCACAATCTTTCTGGGTCGTACCTGTCAGCTCGTACGTTCGCATATTGTTTACAATTATCTCATATGTATGCTAAGTAACTAAGATAGAATATCTGTCTTCTTCATTCACTTACAAGCATGGTCGGAACCGACGTTCCGGTATTCGTTAAGTAAACGGGTGGAATACGTAAATAAGGAGAGCTCCGTTATGCGATTTCGTGCATCGAAACGTCGACCTCAATTACTCAAAATCCGAATTAATCTGCATTGAGCATAATTTCATTTTCAACATCGTATAGTGTTCTGAAGATATCCAGAACAGAATTAGAATCAAGGGTGCGTATTCTACGCATGGATCATTGGCAATCGGCCGGGCCGTTCGGAATTCTTCGATCTACGAATCGCGAGCCAAGATAAATCCGCTAGGAAAACAATCCCACGCAACAGCGGGATCCGCAGTTGCGGCACGCAATTACGCGAACGGCGTCATGGGAACGGCGGATCCTTCGGAAATAATTAACATGACGGTCGAAAGCATCGATCAATTTCAAGCAAACGAGTATTGCCGCACCGCGCGCAACACTCGTTTAAAGAGCCAAACGACTCAATCATCCCTCTCAACGACGTTTCACCCTCTCGTTTTGGCAGCGGGCCGATCCCCGAGAACTCATATATACCTACGTGGAATCACGAATTTTCTCGGCACGCTTCGCTCCCCAGCTGCCGCACGTTCGTACGGCGCGGCGCGTACAATCGGCTGAGAGATAGCGCTGACAAATTGACTCGAGATTAAGGGCGTTTCGGGGGCATGCACGGCAACCCCGGTCGGTGGAACAAAGTGAAACTGGGTCTGCGACCCCCTCCGACTTTCGGTGTGCGTGCCCGTCCGTGTAGCCCGCGCGCTTGTATGCGCACCTGTACCCTTCCCCGCGCGGAAACACCGGGTGCATCGGCCTACGGCACTACGGAAGAAAACTATTGATTTTCATTTACCCCGCGGAGTCGCGTTTCACGAAGGCTGCGAGGAAAGAAGCACCCCCCTTCGGTCGCTTGGCACGGCCCGTTCGCCCTGCATTCGGACGGGAAGACAATGGCCCCGGGTCAGTGAGCCTGCGGTGCCATCCGGAAACCGAGACGAAAATCGAACGAATGAGAAAGGGGAAAGAGAAACGAAATAAGCTTTCTAACAGGGCTTTCCCTTCCATGAACCTCGACATGTGTTCCGAGACTCGTACGCAGGCGATTAATGTTTAACATGTGAGCACAATGTGTCTAAAGCTGCAGAGATACAGCAATTAAAATTGATGAACGATTTAAAGGATCTCTAAAATGTAATCTGTATATCGTTCGATTAAATCAATATTTGTGATCATTAAATCTAACAGCGGCAGTTGTAAAAAACCAATCGAGAGTAATCGCGTGCAAATGTCTCGCAGCGAAAGATTTCTAGTAAGATATTATTATTTGAAAAATTAAGGTTGGCGAAGGATCGATAATTTCACGAGAGAAAAACAAGCGAGACGCCACGCGGTTATTTCAGAGAGCGAAGTTTTCACAGGATCTCAATTCCAGAGGAAAAAAACTTTGTGAACAGAAGAAAGAGATTTACACGTGCTGCTCATCTTTCCCAATTTCATAAAGCTTGAAGAAATATATGGCTTTAACAACGAAATGAAAAAGTTGACTGGCCCATTGTCCAACTTCTTACTTAGTAAGTGTTAGATATATCAAGAGAAAAAGAGAGAGAAGAGAAATAAAGAAAGTAATCGCCAGCACAAAGGTAAAAGAGAAAATCTCTGTGGAATTTAACTGATGTTTAAAAGGCCAAGAATCAGTTACGCTCGTTGCTTTGTTCGAAACGCATTCTTGATCATCACATTTTTTCACGTAGAGACTTGTATGGTTTCCTAAGAAAAAACAATTCTGTTTTACAATGAAATTGGCTCGTGCCGCTTTCGCAATAGGATTCAATTAACTGGCCGCGATAGGAATTATCGCAAATGCATTCGTCCGCCGTGGTTAATCTGGAAACGAGATACCAGCGGCTGCCAGTCCCAGCACTGATCGTAATGTTAAGCACAGAAATATCCCGGTTATATGCATATTGAATGCACGACGATTGACAAAGTGGCTAATCAATAATTTCCATGCGTGCTTATCAGATGTACGAGGAAAACGGTAACGGCCGAGTGCCCGTGTGATTTGCAGGAAAATTGTCTATTTTATACGTATAATTAAATACAATAGCCGTGGGAATTAATTATCTAAGTTACCATTTCCTCTAAGATCTTATCCATTTTCCTCATAATTTCTATTCTGCACAAATACATTCGCGCGTTGTATTCATTTGCGATCCAAATTCGCATGAAATTTGCCAGTCATTCCAGACTCGCGGGATTGCGACGCAAATTCAAGTTTATGTTTATGTGTAGTAAAAATCTCTAAGCGGAACACACAACTTTGAGAAACAAAACATTAAAATATTTCTAATTTGTTTTTTTACCATTCCGAAAGTAGTCCCACTCGTCCTTCGAGCCCATATTTGTGTCCGATTTTTCTTGAGAGTCTACGGGAAATCGAAGTCCACGAAATCGAGGTCCAAGTAAAATCTGCACTCGCTCGTCTTGACTGCTTGCGCGTCGATTCGCGTCGATCGGCCGCACAAGCACTCGCGTTCCGTGGTCGCCGATACGTCGGGGAAACGTCGGGATCGCCTGGACGATCACGTTAGAATCCCGTAACGTTTTCCAGAATGACGAGAGGCCGACGCGATTCGCGGCCTCCGCGATTTTTTAGCTTTGCGAAACCCGCGGGGTTTCGCTAAGCTCAGAAACGCGAGAGAAAAACTGTTAAAGTCACACGAACGTGTCACCGTCGCGCGTCTCTTCTGTATATTTTTCGCGCGGTCGTCGAGGTTCTCTCTCGTCTTCGCTTTTTTCCTCCGCGATCGGGAAAGCGACCGGCAAGCTACGCGTCCTACTCCGACAGCAGCAATACCGGCCGGCGCGTCGGCATCGCTTTATATCGCGCGCGGTCACGTGACGCGTGGACGCGCCAGCCGCGCATGCGCCGGTAAATATTTACACGTGCGCGCCCACCACGCGTGCTCACTGCACGTGCATGCAGCGCGGCACATGCGACGCCGACGGATCGATGATCGATAAATAATAACTACGCTGTCTTATTCATAGAGGAAAGCCCGCTATTATGAGATAAGCGCCTAATATGAGGTAGCGGCGTTTCTACTAAACTAATAAACGCTATCTATTGGTTCCACTATGAATTTATTGCTCTTGGATTGAAAAATATTTAGTGTAGAAAATTTGTTATTAGATCATGTCTGTAGTCATTGTAAAACAAGATTTTAGAATTTGAATGTCTTCAAGTTTCATGAGATGAGTCTTTAAACCTTGTTTATTATTTAATAAATAACTATTTTGGCAATAAATTCTTCATGTAATGATAGAGTAAGATCGTACTAATAGAAAAATACGGACTATGTGTTGATTTATTTAATTATAGAAGATTCGATGATCGTAAAACCATAAGACGTGGAAATTGTAATATGAGATATCTAGTATCTCAAAATAATGGTCTTTCCTCTATGCGAATGTATACAATTTTTTTCTTCATTCCGTTGTTCAGTATTGAACAAATCTCTCTGTTCAATATATTGGTACAAGGAATCTATTATTTTTCTGAACAATTCTACTTCATTAAAGTCGCTACGTTAATTTTATTTTTAATTTTATTCGATAATTTAAATAAGATTAATTACTCTATTTTTAAAAGAAATATGTTGGTTACGAGCCAAAAATAATAGATTTAATATATTTAATGTACATTAACAAAAGATAATAAATATAAAAGCTCTATATGAAGATTACAGACAAAGTTCCGATTCCTATCGAGTCATTTTCAATGTTAAATATATAAAGTGCGTTTATCATTGATGTCGTCATTACAGTTTTTATTCTATTTTTTGTATTGTTATTTTTAGATAAAAATTCGCGCGTATTCAATAATGTTTTAATAAAATACATGCATATATACATGACTTTTTTGCAATGTAATGTTTAAAAAAATGCATCTTTTGACAGTTTTTATCGCCGAGATAAATAAAATACAATGCGTCTTGTATATATCTGATGCTGTTACAAAAAAAATTTGTTTTAATAAAGTTGTAATGACAAAAGATTAGATTGAGAATCATTCCTTTGAAAGAAAGATGTTTATCTATCTCTCTTCACGTTTGCGATGAATAATCTAATCACTCGAGTGGCACACTTTGTTTACACTCGTAGATAACGTCGTTTGAGATTACGTCACGAACCATGTTGCAAGTTACAGTGTCATAATTACGTTTTTAGTGTTAATAAAGAGAATTCCAATTTAAATAAAAATTAATGATTGCTGAAGGATTTTGTTATTAAACATCAATATACTCAATCGTTTAAGAGACGTCTCTTCAGATGTAAATTAATCATGTAAATTAATTTTGCTATTTTGCTTGTGTTTCTATTTTTACATACATGCGTCACGAAATGTCTAGATTGTACTAAATAGCAGCATTTTATCTTCTCGACTCGATTAATTTTTGAAAAGTGAATTGCGACGAATTCCTTTCAACATAAGACATTATTGTGAAACTCAATTTTAAATACGTGAGAAACATAATAAAATAACAAAACAATAAATACAGCAGTTAAAAGATATTCGAATTTCACAAACGTACTTACAATATTCCAACTTTTTATCGAAATTTAGAATATGTATATTATATACATATTATATATATTCTATAATTTATAATATTTTAAATATTATATTTTATTTTTTTATCTTTTTTACATATATAAAAAATTACTTCCGACAGAATTCTTATAAAACCATTTAAGCTTCCTTGTCGTTCTTCTGTGGCAAGACGTAACATTGTCTAAAACAATTAGTGTGAACTGTACTTATTTCTTCATATGATGCAAGTCAGCATACGAAGAAATACACTTGCTAAACTGCTCTGCATGTCAACACGAAATATTAACACGTGGAACGAAAGAATTGTGTCGTATCGTGCTATCTTGAAAATCTTCTCGCTATATCATCTCTCTATATAATCATGGAAATTCATATTACATCACATTTAATGTATTTCTTTTCAATCTAATCTACTAAGATACCGAGTCACTTTTATGCATGGATTCCTCTTAATCATCTTGGTCTTTAGTTTCCTTATGAAAGCTATAAAGAAGCTATTTTTCAAGCACTAAAATAAATTTAAATTTCATTTCAAGTATAAAATGTATTATAATTTATTTAATTTATAATTTAGTTTGAACTTAATCTAATCTTTTTTTATGTGATAATCATATAGGTATATATTATATATAATCATATATGTATATAATAATTATATGGAAATATCAAAAATTACGTATATAACAGAAGATTAGAATAAAGTCAAAAATTAATTAAAATTATTAAACGAGATTAAATAAAATTAATTTTCATCGCGTGACTGTAATTGCCTGACTGGTTGTTATTGGGATTCTCGGAGATGATATCTTCAATCACGACTCACTCACTTTTAAAGAGTAAGCGCAAAGACGAATCATGCAGTATCCTAAAATGGTTTTATTAACTCTTAACTTTACACGTGTTTCTTTGTCAGTATACTAGTCTCGGAGAGATATCTGTATATGTATATCATTAATTCGACATAACTTTTCCCATTGATTATCCGACGAGCGTACCATTATATGGTCCCAAGATAATCGCACGCGATCCATCTCGGGGCGCAGGTTCGGTCTGATACTTTGTATCTTCGTGGATTTTGGTTCTTCCATTTCCTCTCCCTCGAGATATGTCACTTAGCGAGAAACTTAGAAGATAAATATCGATGGCTTTGTTATTCAACGGAGAAACTCGTTCGTATGAAAGATGTTCCGGCCTTGCAGTTTGCGAATATATCAATGCAAATATTTTCTGATATATATATATATGTATATCGAAAGTTTTTGCAGCGAATAAAAATAATCTGAAAATTCCCGTCGATATGATATTTTTAGGTGTATATTATGTATATAATGTACAATTATGCTATTTCATTTCGAGCGACGCTTTAAAATATCTTCATGTAGATATTTTTTTCTCTCTTTCTCTCTCTTTAAACAAGAGGATTAAATTCGCATAAATTGCAGATCAGTCTAAAGCATAATTCGAAACGAAATAACATAAATGCGTGTATACGTATATAGCTATGTATACAACACGTTCGTATAAGCGATGCGAGATAGTTCTTTTCTTTTCTCTGTAATGTAGTGTAATGGAACTTTTTCACGTCGTGCCCGTCCCACGTTAGCCCGATTTTCTTTCAGAAAGCGGCCGAAAGTCACAGTCGTAAATAGCAATTTGCCGTCCTCTCTTTTATACATGCAGTTATAAAATACTTTCGATCCATTCTCACACAGGCCAGAAAAGTCGCCGCAAGCAAGTATGCTATATTTGTGAAGTTTCCCTTTCTTCAACTCTCCTAGGAGAGTTCACCCACATGTTGTCTCTATATTATAAATATCGTACATGCCTATTTTTATACATTACCATCATTTTCACAGTAACGCAAGTTGCAGCGCTTAGGGGATACGCAACGATCAGAGCGATGATATGATTAGAAGCGTGATATGGACTTGTGCTTGTTTACCGCAGATCACAAACGGATGCTCCTTCCATTTGTGACGCATCGCAAACTCCTGATTTACCATATCCATTCACTTTCAAATACCGCTACGTTACTTTTCCGCCGTTAGCCGCATTATTACTTTGTGGGGATCTCGCCTGAAATAATAAATAGGACTCCAGCGTGTCCGTAGCGAAATGCTAATTTTGATTTAGCAAAGATCTGACATATGGATGTCCGTTTTAACATCCTTTCCACGCGCGCAGATTTATATTTATTCTTCCAACGAGAATCGCGCACAAAGGAACATCACAATCCTAAAGATAATCCCACTTCGTAACAGCAAGTGGGATTGCGTTGCATTCAAGTCTTAGCGTAAGATTTAACACAGAAGATCTTTATTCGTACATTATAAAAATAATAAGAAAACATACTTACACATATTGGTTCACGATATGAAAGCAATCGCGTACGGGCGACAATCGCAATCTCTCCTATCTCTTTCATAGAATTCTGCGATAAACAAGACGAGAGCGATGAAGAGAGTATATCCGCGAAGGAAAGTCTTTGATGTGCGACTGCGGCCGATGATCCTTCTTTGTCTTTCGCGAGCACAAAGCACAAAACGGTCAAGGACTATGCGTTTTAGTTATACAAGCGAAAAAGCGCGTTTCTCCAAGGATTGCATAGATAAATTTGACCAGTTTTCATACATTCGCGAAGAAAAATGAAAAATCCTTACGCGAGTCGCACATCACGTGGCTTCCTTTGCCATGCACTTAAATCCTCTACGTTATACAAAGACACGAATTAATTCGTAATATTATATCGTGATAACTTGCACATACGAAACATTCTCGTTATTATCTTACATACGTATTAATCGTCAGCATTCACACCAATATATAGGCGCGCCCGTGAACTCGTCGCTCCGCACGTCGTTCTCTGATGAACGACGTGTAGAGTTCCTTGAAAATTCGGAACGCATATGAAATTTCTTTTTTTTTACTCGTTTCTCGTATTTCCTTTTCAAAAATATCAGGAAACTGTCGAGGTATCAAAGAAACGATTGCGTACGTATCTGTACCATATCTCGCACTCTTTCGCCGCACTGAATAAAATGAGTATGTGCACGTATGTATGTGTTTGTGTGCATCGTGTATACGTCTCGCAACACGATAGTTAAAAAATTACAAAAATCATTGTAAAGAAATGCGCCCTAAAGAGTGCGAGCCACGTTTCTTAGTGCTTTTTCACAGTTACAAATATACCTTATTACTTTACCTCTTCCGCTCTTTTTTAAATAGTAATTATTTTTTGGCTTGGTAACTATGTAAAAATCTAAATTAAATAGTCCCGTCGCTGTGTAACGTGCGCATCACGTTTTTTTTTATTTTTATCTTCATCCTGAGTTAAGCCTTCAATGCCAACTCACTCGTACGCATTCGTGAACAATTCGCGGATCTGAGAAATAAAATAAAATATTACGGCTGTTAAGTCATAAAAATTGCAAAGCGTCGGATTGTGCGTGAAACAAATAGTGGATCTCCTTCGTAGCAAAAAGTAATTGCTAAACAACTTGATTGGTCTGGCAGTATTTAAATTACATTGTCTAAATAACTGCAGACTGACGTCTATCGAACGGCAAATAGGTATTAATATATATATTTATATATATATTTATATATTTGTATATATTACCTATAATTAGTTTTCTTATTTTAGATAAGTTATCTGCATGGCCTACTGTGCCAATGGAAGCATTTGCTGTCACTTTGCAATGGCATTGCATGTATCATAATCGTTCCTTTAAATGTCTCAAAAAACGTTTCAATTCTCTGATATTTTCTCCTTAACTAATAGCGATCGCCAAGCAAACTAGTTTTATCATTATATATTAAATACAAGTATATACATATATATCTCAAAACTTTCTCGCTTGGCGACACACCATGCATTTGTCGTTCTGGCAGTGTTATACGTTGTAGGTGCGTAATATAATTATTTCGTTAAATCCGTCGTTCTTGATACCTGGAGACTCTCTGTATACAGTAATTGCGATAAATCCGTAGAACCGTAATTATTATACGTATTAATTATACGTACGACTGTTATTCACAATCGGATACCCTTATTGCTTAATAAATGGCACTGATTATTGAAATATTTATGAGTATCGTTGCTGTCTCGAATCTACAGAGTCGAATAAAGTACGTTTATTCCCTACCGCTGTCTCGGTTCTACAACGATCTAAACTAAATTCGCGTATCAAGTTCGGAGCAGTGGATCCTTCCCTACAATTGAATTCTTTACGAAAGGCAACACGTGATTTGTATTCCCATACTCCCTAGAAAATCTTTCCTTTTTCTTTCGTGTGAAATATAGATGATTGAGAGAGTGTATGTCGATCGAATATCGACTAAGGAATATTTTTTCTTCTTTTCGTTAAATCGATGGTGAGATGTGCCGTTGTTGATACATATATAAAATAAGTAAAAACGCGCGCAAATTCGGAGAATGTTCTCGCGGAAGAGTTCCATTCACGCTATATAAAACAGTATATATATTGTCTCATACCGGGTGAATGGAGAAGGACTTTTATTTAAACGTCGCTATAAACGTTCAGAGTCCCACGATCGTCGTCGTCGCCAATTCGAGATTGCTTTTTATAATTAATTTGGTTTTGCTTGTGTATCGGTGAGTCTCCGAGCATTGCTAGCATATATTTTCGCGTAGGCGAGTGTACCGTATTTTGTTAGGGAGGCACGTAAGGGGGTGGTTTCCTGTACGTTGGAGTAGGTTTGGGACGATTTTGTCGATTGGTGTCACGATTTGTGGCGAATGGCGGCGGCGGTTGGTACGGTTCCTCGGAGTTCTCCTTAGGCAACATCGGCACATCAGCGCCGTCCTCGGTTTTCTGATATTCGGGCGGTGGAAGAGGTGGCTTTTCTTCCTTCAGAATTACGGGTGACTTATTGCCTAAAATCACGCCAAGTGTCAGTGACAGACAAATATATTTCCATTAATATACTGTTAAATAATCGTTACCGGGATCCGGTTTCTCTTCCAGCTCATCCTGGAATATCACGGGAATTCCTTTGTTCCGGAAACTTTGCCGCTCGTCATCTTGCTCACTGACGCTCATCTTTCCACTACGTCTTCGCTTGTGTAACACGCATGCAATTATTCCCGCTAGAATGAGCATAGCGGCGATAATGATCGCTGGCAGAACAAACGTGAGAAGATAATCATCATGGAACGCGCCAACGGATGTCGAATCGTCCACTGGTGGCACGTGGCTATCCGGTGAGTGAACGCCCGTTAATTCACCAAGGCAGATTCCCATGGGAATCACCGTGATCTGCTTCACCGGGAATTTCAGACCCATCACATCCAACACCTCGTCTGTTACGGAACGTCGGTCATTATCGCTCTTCACAAGCACAGATCGCAGCCTGTTGACTTCGTCGTGGGCACAATATGACGTAGGTAAAGTTCTATTGTGCCATGTGATGACGGTACTGCCGTTTGAGATATTGTGCAGCAAGATAGCGCTCGTGTCTCTGTCTCCGTAGAGATCACGTAGTTTCTCGATAAAATTGCGCTTCTGAAGTGCAGAATGCGCAAAAGAATCGTAGGAAATATCTAACGTCATCGAGAATTCTACCGTATGTGCCATGGGAGGAGCTGAATGAACGACGACGACCAATCCATCCGTGGCACTTGCACCTAGGAAATATTAATTTTTAATTATTTAATTTTTATAAATGTTTCCAGTTTTAGAAAATAAAATATTCTTCTACCTTCTTTATCGACAACAACCAACTGATATTCCTTACGGCCAATGTCGGTAATCATTGGCACACCGTAAAATTCTTGATTTTTGTTGTCAAACTGCAGCCACTCGTAAGGTGGAATAGGTCTTCGGTCAATAGTTAAAAGTGACATTTTCATGTTTCGTGACGATCCATCCTCGGCATCAAAGAATGTGTCCTTAAAAAATATAGACAATTATCTACATTGTTGACATTGATAAAAATGATAAGAATTAATAAAACACATACTTCTGGCACTTTAAATACGAGCAATTGGCCAACTGTCGCATTAACATGATCAACTTGATTCCTCGGTACCGGCGGGAAATTCATTTTCGGCTCTTCCGTAGAGACTTTTGGTATCTCGGAATGATTCATATCTTCGCATTGTCCAATACCTTGAAATATGATCCGCTTTACCCTGATTTCTGGAGCGAGAACTGCTTTTAGAGAAGCTGATGGATCTCCATCACTGTCGATGAGTACCTGATAATACATACATATTATTTTTTAAATCTGTGTAATTTATTGTAAAAGAAAAGCATGATACAGCAATTCTGTGTTCTTACGCGCAATAATTTGTTTATATGTTCTCTCGGACACTCGCTACTTCTTGGAAGACTATCATTAGTCCATGCGAACATAACTTGCTCACGATCAGGATTGATATTGATGGAACGAACTGTGATATGCTGGGTGTCACTGTCTCCGTAAAGTTCAGCCAAACTTCGGATTACCTATAATCGAAAGACAATTAAAAATCAACGAGAAACAAAAATAGTTAACAGAATTTAGAAGATACAATAATGTCAATTATATGTATTACACACACACACACACACACACACACACACACACACGCACGCACGCACGCACACACATTTAATACATACCTCAAGTTCCCAATCGATGTCTGTTGGAAATTCGATTCGTTTATCGATTTTCAAGTAAATGTTAAATTCGTGATTGACGCTACGACTCAGTTTATGTTGTTGAACATGAATATCGAGACTATCAGTAACATTGGCACCTTCTCTATCCATAGCAACTAGTTCATAATTCCATGTAGATATGTCATTCTCGAGAGGCCTGTTGATAGAAAGATTGTAGAAAAAAACATGTTCTGCTTTATGAAAGAAATAAATACAAAAAACGTTGCATAAACTTACAATCCATAGACTTCTTGGGTATGATGATTGAATTGAAGCCAGTGTGTTGTCTTGAGTGGTATACCTTGCCAGTACAAACTCAACTTTAGGTTCCTCGTGTTGCCGTCTTCAAAATCGGTGAAGGTATCGGCCGGAATGACATAACTCAGCGGTTTACCGGCAGTTACTGGTATCTTCTTTAATCTCCTATCGCGTCTCGGTGGGAAGTTGACTTGGCCATACTCGATACTCTCCGTGGTAATCCGAGGTGTTGTCGTTGTTGTAGTGGTTGTAGGTGCCGCGGTGGTGGTAGTAGTCGTGGTCGTGGTTGTGGTTGTGCTAGTAGTGGACGGCGTTGTGCTCGACATCGTTGTGCGAAGATCTGATGTTGGTGGCATCGTAGTCGTAATTGTCTCATTCGTTAAGACTACAGGTATAATAGTAGACGTGCTAACATTCGTTACGATTGTAGGTGTAAGAGTGGTGGTGGTGGTGTTAACGTCCGTGACGATGAATGTTGGTACAGTCGATTCTTTCATGGAAGTAGTTTGTTCCGACTAGGCGAGAAAAGAATGCATATCAAAATGCATGACAAATTATTGCGTTGAGAAGAGAGGTGTAGTAATTCTATGTGAGAGAAATTTACGTAATAACGGTAGAATATATATTTAAGCTGCTATTAACACGCCGTTAATAACAGACGATTTCGATTAGGACGATAACAATTTGTCTCAGCGAAGCGACAAACCGACACGCTACAGCGCGAGGAAGTTGGTGTGTATAGGCGGCGTGAACTATTATACAAATGAGAGAAGCGCTAAAGCACGTAAGCATTACCTCTTCCGTTGTAACATTAGTAATACCGACGATCTCCGTCTCGATTTTGTCGAAGACACTAGTCTGGGTGATCGATGTGCTAAAAGGCGGCAGAGTGGTTACAGGAGGAGGAGTCGTAGTAATATCCGAAGGAATGGTTGGTAAAACGGTAACGGATTCGGCGGGTTCCACGGATTCCACGGATTCCACGGGTTTCGTTTTCTCCGTCGACGATTCCTCGTCCGTGGTCTCCGATCGCGGAGATTCTATCGATGGGGCTACAGCGGTGGAGATACTAGCTGTTGCTGTTATATCGGCCGATGTGACGGTCGTTGTGGTGCTACTAGTAGAAGTTACGGTCGTTGGCGTGGCTTGGGTGGTGGTTGTAGTTGTCGTCGTGGTGGTGGAGGTAGTTGTAGTTGTTGATGGTGATGATGTAGTAAGTTCAGTGGTTCTTGTCTGCGAAATCGTTAGTAGATGCGATGTATGGCACGAAATACGAGTGGTTAGTTATGTTTGAAGGGACCAAGAAGTTGTACAAGTAGAGAACCAAGTCAGGCTTACGTCTGCGGAGATTTTCGCGACGCAATCTGTACAGCACACTTTTGAACGCACGTATTGCACGGACACGGAGTATACAGTTTGCGAAAACGAAACAGAGGCCAGCGATAAAATACACAATACCCAGTAGCTATTCTAAATTCTTAAAGCGCAACGATTCCCCCGCAAGCGGTATGGCAAATGGCGAATGAGGAGTGCAGAAATAGGAATTTTCTTAATGTCAAACCGTAGTAGAGCCATGGTCTATCTCGAATATAAACATTGATCAAAGGGAATCAATCGCAGTGATCTTTGATTCCACAAGACACTTACCGTAGTCGTAGTTTTATTATCTAATTCACTTTGACTCATTCTCGGTATTATCTCTTGTTCATCATCTTCGCTCTGAAATGAATAACGTATATGAATAAAAAATAATATTCGATCGTTGCATTTATTGCACATCTCATGCGATTAAAAATAAAGTATGGTCGTGATTGTGACAAGCCATTCTATGACACTCACCTTCCAATCAATCGTCTCCTCGCCATGATGATGCCGATGCGGATGTTTCAAGTCTGGTATGAAAGTTGGTGGTACTCCGAAGTTATCATCGTTATCATCTTCCTCGTTTTCCTCGTCGTAATCACCATCGTAGTCGTCATCGTAACCGCCGTAATCGTCCGAATCACCGTAATCGCCGGAGCCAGCTTCTCGTCTGTTTCTCAGAAAAGAGTTCAAATCTGTCCTGACGCGCCACGACATCACAGGAAGCTGCAGAACTTCTGCTAGAGTACCATCCTTCGCCTGCTCGCGTAATTGTTTCACCAACTCTGTTTGATGTTTCCATAAGTGACCGTCGCAGCCAACCTACGAACGCGCATAGATGTACCTAGTTTTTTTTCTCTTGATCGGTGAGATTTCAAAAAATGAGGTATCGCAAAAACTGATAACAAAACTTATGTAAAATACCGTGATTAAATATCGTTATACATAAAATAATCGTTAAGAAAATTAATTTCGAATCTCACCTGCCACTGAATGGTAGTTAAATGACTTTCTTTGTTTTTGTGATGTCTAACGTTCCCGGGTCCGGTAAAGATAACGGAGGAATCCAGGGTGGTGGCATCCTTGATACTTTGGGAATGCATCGAGAATGCGCTCTGAAGAATGTAAAAATAAAAAAATCCTATAATAGATTCTTAAAAAACAAAGGAAATTTAATAGAATAGCCAGATGAATAATTTCTTAATCACTTTTTTACAATAAGTACGATTTCTTTCAATCTCTGAAGTATGGATTATGTCTCAAAGGAACTCAATGAGAATTTAACGATTAATATCAAATGGTAGAATCGATACCGTGTGCATTCCCAGAAATCCGGCGAGATTTTCGATAGCATTCACCCTAATGGTAGGCGACAGTTGGTCCATCCGCGCATCCAGCAGAATTGTAAGGATCGTCTGGTCCTCTCCATCCTCGCAATGCGTCTGCAATTAGGATCGCACTATTTCACATCAGTCGCCAACTTTCCGTTTATGCCTAACCAACATGCGAAATTTCAAAGATCGAGGTCACCAATCGCGATATACAACGAGATGACGCGTTATGCACGCAGCAACGTCAATTGACGTCAATCAGTTAAAGTCCACAACGAGTAATGTCTTTACGACATTTAAACGCAACAATGCGATTGCAACGGGTGATCGCCTGACGGATTCTGACGGATTTATATCATGGCTCGGGATTCCACTATAAATTCATCAAACGCGGATTTTATCGCTCGCGACTAAATTACGAGTCGAAAAATATATAGCATCCGGAAAGTAGATATCTTTTCACTCATGTTTCATTCAGACCAGTTTTTCAAACGTTATTTTATTTTGTTCTTTATCAGCGTCACGCAAACGACGCAGAAACGCTTTTCGCTGACGATTTAAACGTGCAACGTTCACCAAAAGTTCACTCCTTTGTCCACGCCTTTTTATTTTTAAGTTCTATTAATCATTAGTGAATGGAAGGCATATATAGCGGGGACCTGTTGTTCGACTTGGATAAGAAACTTGAAACGATGCCAGCGATACGTTTTCGCAGCTAACGATCCTCTCACCAGTTCGTTGTTCGCATTATCGTTACGCTGAGTTAACGTTTATCGATATAACTCACCTTACCGTCCTTATGCTTGAGTTCCTCAAAGTTCTCGGGTATAACTTGCACGACGAATTGATCCTTGGCGGTGTCACGGTGCTTGCCGACAGCCGTGACGCTCAGGTGATAATTGCCGATGTCCTTCTTTGACGGCACGCCCAAGAGAGTGGAGACAGCGTCGTCCCAGTGCATCCATTGCGGCAAACGATCGCGATCTGCGGTCTCGTGAACCTAATGTGTTTTTAGCGTGTAAAAACCATATTCCCCCTGCTGCTGTTCCTCTCGAGAGGATAATTATTCGTGCAGTCTTTGCGTCGGAATATCATGCAAACTTTTGAGTTGCCTTTGCACGAATGGAAGAAGCGTGTCCCGTTGCCCGAATAATTTCGAGGACAAAGGGAAGACTAGGGCCATTCAACTTAAGAAGGATTTCCGGCGATGAGACCTGACGATGCCAGGAGACGGCGGGGGGTAAATTGAATCGCAAATATGGATTCAACGAGAGATGTCGAGTCGGCAGGGACTCGGAGAGAGAAGAAAATGACAGATGTGAGGACAAGCAAATCAATAGCGTTCAACAAGCAACGGCAGGCGTCGCTGATACTTGACGGCGCTACGAGGCTCGATAAATACGAAAGAAGGACTACGTTCTTAAGTAGTTTAAATCCGACGCGACTTTTATCTCGGACGCACACTGAATACAAGTACGGCGTACTTAAATAAGATTTTTTCCTACACCTCGTACAAAAAGATCTTTCAACGAGATACAAACGTTTGCGTGTAATTCGCTAACGCAATCGATTAGTGCTAAACATCTAGTAAAAGAATGCCGTATTCTCTAGTCAAACATTAAAGTGAAGAAATGATTCTTTTTTTCGGCCTGATTTGTAATTTTCTGGTTAATTCGTGGATAAATTTAACTTGATAATAATGTAAAAATTGTATTTTTTCATGGTTAATCACTAAACTGATAATTTTGAGTAATTTTTGAAGTTATTATTACAAAACTATTATAGCTTAGTGATTAATCGTAACTATAGAAAATACAATTGTTACATTATCATCAAGTTGAGTAAGTTTAAATCACAACTGGAAATTGAAAAAGCCTTAAAGTTTCAGAATTGATAGGAGAATCTTTTTGCGGAAGCCCACTTTCGAGATTTAATTTAATTTAAAATTCGAGTAACGTAGGACGGATATTTTTCTCATCAGGGACTCGTATAGTGCAGAACGAGTAGAGAGATGGTCTTCCGGTCACGTTCGTGGTCAAAGAATGAAGAAGTCGTGTCGCCGAACTTACCTCATAAAAATCCACGCTTCCCGAAAAAGCTTGCCGCGGTATTTTCATCCTGAAGATGTGGCCGACCGGGATGACGGAGTCCGGCACGCCCCATGCTCTTTCGACCCGAGAGACGTGCCTTCTGCCATCACGAGACGACGATCCGTGCTCGTAACGATCGGATCGACCGTGAGACGTATGATGATTTATCAGGACAGACCCGATGGGCACGTTGTCATTGTCGTTGTCCTCACCGACGTCGTCGAAGACCAGGTCATCCTCTTGCAGACTGAGGCCCAATGACAGAGGCAGCAGAAGTAGGACGCACACGAGGATGTAAGGATACTTCTTCATGTTTCGGGGGAGTTCTCAGTCACTGATACCATACCATGCTGCTACGCCTGCAACAAATCAAGCCACGTCCATTCAGTTCGAGTCACGATCGCCGTGATAAACATCGAACGATGTCAGTGTCGTAATAATTAAAGCGCGCGCGGTTAATTCTGATGTAAAATCTCGATTGCTGAAACGGGGACACGCTCTGGTGAAACGAGATCATCACGAGTTGAGCTTCCGACCCTTAAAATGTCGCGAGATCGAACGTAGCTTTCCATTCTTCGTCTCAAATTGAGATAAACGACGATCTCTCTTCGCCACATTGTTTGGTGCATTAAAAGACGTATGGTATAACAACCCACGTAAATCATATCAACGTATAACATATTCTAACAATAAAATAATTCGTCTGCATTGAGAAAAAAATTAAAAATTTGTGAGATATACTTAATATTTATTCCATTAAATCCTTTAAATAAGGAAATCAAAATTTTATTCTTAGCGAATAAATCATCTATTTTACTTTTTTTTTTTTACAGTTAATTAGAAAAGTGAAATATATTTTATAGAAATATATATTCCGCCAACACAAATAGTTTTATAATAAATAACAAAGTAGTCACAAGTACAACTTGCTTTTGTATATTTCAAATTTTTTTTTTTCAATGTGAGTAACGATATTTTTTTTCCGAAAATTACAATTCTTTATCTGAAGACAATGTGGGGTTTGAAAGATAATGAAATAAAATACAATCAAGCGCGATGCGATTGAATAGAAAGGCGTATTGTATCGATCGATACTAACGATAATTATTCGACACATCTGTTTAGGTTCGGCTCGAGTCTAATGAAACATTTTCGTAATCGGAGGAGCAAACATCCAATGGTGTCCAATGATAGCCAATAAACGCCTCGCCATTACTTTTTCATTTCCCTTTATCGCTCGTACCGTCGAGCTACCGTTTCATTAATCGGCGCGGCCGAACAATGAGAAGCTGACAGTTAAGCCGTTCACCGCTGGATTCTCTCTCGCAACCGGTAAACCGTCGATAAAACCGAGAGAGATTCAGTTTTATCGAAACGCAACTCGTACCTCTCGCACACGATGTTTCGATCGCAAAACGATCGATTCGTACTATTTCGGTAACATCTGTTGAAATTGTTTGGGGAAGCCGAATAATTCGGGATAAATGGAATGGCTCGAATAATGCCTCGGACGATTTTTTCCTGGTCGGCGTCACCGCGTGACAAATCGAGCAAATTAATCGAAACGGGGACAATAGTGAGTTTACAGGGAATTCATCGTCAAGCTGGTTTAATCGCATGGAAGTTATGCATGTCGCGCGACATTTATCGTTCGATTTTCGAACTCTTCGATCAGCCGTGACAACGATAAGAAAAGTTTTCATTAAACGCCTCCGAGGTCAGACGCGATAGAAATCAGATCGCAAATCATATTTTTAGTTGCCGATAATGGAAATCAAACTTTAATACGATGATTTATAACTGAGAGTGTAGAAAGGTCGGAGAAACGACTGCGATCGTTCGTATCGATTTCAAGGACCGAGAGAACTCGGCGGTCCGTCAATCATGTATGTAAGAGTTTGGGTCGCGCATTAATCGCGCTGATGAAAACGAGGGCAACGCGATACGCTAAACTCTCGCCGGAACGAGACTTACGAGACTGCGAAGACGGTCAACAGACCGCGAAGGTTATACAGTGGGTGTAGACAATTGAGTTTGTGCCCGCATTTACATGCGTTCGCACGGGGGTAAGATATAGCAGTGAGCTCATTACTCCTCGCTTATACCGCGATCCGATAGCTGCCTTAAATAAAAGTAGTGGAAGGCCGATGCGCACAAAGAAGCTCCTCCATGATTTTATAATAATTCTCGTGAAGAGTCTATCACGCGACAGAACTATGGACGCAGAACTATGAGTGGCTCGCTCGTTTTACGTTGCGGCGTTGTCGACAAGTTATTTATTTAACGAGTCGACTTCCCTCGCATCGCGTGACACAAATATTGAATCCTGATATCACACGACGAGCCGTGATTTTTACAGGATGAGCACACGGTCGGCGCATGCTGACCGATCGTAGGTAGGTAGATGAGCGTGTCTGGTGACAAACGGTTTAAAAGTCCGCGGAAAATGAACGCGGAAGGGGATAGGATTTATCACAATAGGGATTGCAAAACGATCGCTCTCGTATGCGTCCACCCTCGCGAATCCCCGCGTCGGACTTAATACGATTTCACGGTCGCAATATCGCGCGACGCGAGAGAACGAATATTTATCAAAGCTTAACGATCGAATATCGCGATTGTTCGAACGAGGGAAGTGTTGTTTGATTGCCCGATGAACGCGATGTGATTTTCCTGCCTCGGCTACCTCCGGAGGATTCCAGGAATACGCTATTTAGATAAAATATATGTTCGATAATAATATATGCGATACTCCGATCGCACGTGAAAAATTTATTGCTTATTTTTGTTGCTCGAAAAAAAGGGTAAAGAATGCAAGTATTCAGATATCATTGGAAATCTATTGGAAATATCGTAGGTACATGAAAACAATTCTGTGCTGAAGAATCTAAAAATTTAGCAAAATATAGATCTGCAAATATTTCCGTTGAACTATCGAAATAATTATGTAGGACACTCGAACTGGTTCCTACTTGCTAGAATATCAAAACTTTGGCATTGCTCATCATGCTCGAGATTCCTGCGTAATTATTTTGATGGTCCAATAACATTATCTCAGATCTATGTCTAACTAAATATTTAAATACTCCAGCAAAATCATGGCTGCGTTCAGCTGAAAAAGCAGTTTTGCAACTGTTGTAAAATTTAATATACTATATTAAATTATGTTACATTAATAATTCATTTTATCTTACTTAATTATACAAATATATTATTAATACACATTAATTAATACATACACATTATATTATATTATTATAATAATTCGCCTTAACCTTAATTCCTCATTGTATGTATGGAAATGTATCTAAGTGTATAAAATTAACCATATTAAAGAACTTTACAATTACACAGTCGCAAAGCTGCTGTTTCTGCTGAATGCAATCATTTCTTCTATGTAACCGTTCGACGCATATTTTTCACACTCTGACATATTCGACGACACATATATCCTTTGACTCGCATCCGTATAATCATTCCTCTATTCACGCGCGACAGATTTTGCCGCGTGCTCGAGACCTTGTCTCGAGTCTTATATACCTGCATGATATGCAGGGCGCAAATGCGTCGCTGCAGGTGCAACGTGCCGTCGGCGTCGCCGCGAGACGCGCGTGCGATGAATGCAAGAACAGTGAGACCGAGCCGATATATAGACGCCAGGGAGTCGAACGGAAGTGTATAAGGAACGTGGAAATCGATAGCTCCGTAATCCCGAGAAACGACGCAGCGCGGAGTACGGCGTATTCGGCGCGTCGCGGCCCATTGAGCACCGACCTAACACGTGTACCTTCGATTTGTTTGCAACTCAGTTTACCGCAAATCCCACGACACGAGATCTCCACCACGATATTTCTCCCGTCGTAATAAAAAGGCGTCGTATTAATAGAAAGTACTACATTAAATTCATTCATATATTATATTACCGCCGTTCATTCATAAAATCGTCGCACGCATTTTATTTCTTTTCTCGAAAGCCGCTTACATAGGTCTTTCGAGTCAGTGACCTTAAACGGATTAATCGATGCTGCCCTACGCGAGCGTATCGCTCGACGATGTCCAGAGACGCGATGCGAATTCCGCTCGTCGCTGAACGGGAAGAGGAGCGCCGTTCACCAATGTATAAAGATTGAGAGACGGTGAGAAATATGAAGAGGAACGTTCTCATCCAAATATAATAATATTATAATAATATTATTTATTGCACGAACTACTTCGCCGAATCCCGGCGCCAGTATGCAAGAATAAACGAGCCTGCAGTTGACTTTATGTTGATAGTTATTTGTAAAAGTTTAAACATCGTCGTCGGGGGTCTGCGTGTGTACGAGAAATGAAATTTTTAAAAGACGTCGGAGCGTCGTCGTATGGATATCTAAATTTAAAGCGACAACGCAACGCCGTGCGCGTAGAATTTCCTTTCTTGCGCCAGATTCTTCCGTATCTTCGGACAAATAAAGGCACACAAAGACAAAACGTAAGGTAGTAAGATGTAAGCAATAGCAAATTTAAAATGTTTATTTGCTTATTTTTACGTTTCACTGTTTTAAGTTTTTTGTACGCCATATAGTAAAAGGAAATATTAACACATATTTCTTTGAAGTAGTGCTAAGCAAATATTTATCTACTAAGCAAATAAATCTACATTTACTCAATAGAAAGAATAGTTAAATCAAATTAATGATCCCTGTATCAAATAAGCATTGTTTACGTTCAGTAAAGATTTACTTACGACTATTAAAATGTTTATTAACATTTTTTCAGTGCAGTCTTTAATTAAAGAAAAAAAAATCAAAGAGCGGTGAATGATGAAAAAATCTAACGTTGTGTGTGTATAAATAGATTCAGTTTCGAGTCTTCAAAAATGATACCAAGTGCTAAAAAAAGAAATGATAAGCAAAAATGGTAATCGCTGTGCACAACGAATAATAGTATGCGAGAGAGCGTATTGATAAGCTCGGGACGACTCTAATTATAGATATCGTATCACTGGCGCATTTATCCTCGTTAGCAACGCTCTGTTGCGTAACGTAACATCGTTATGCACGTGATTCATGCTCACGGACAAGTCAACCGCGGCAGTCGGTCAATAATATCAATCGTCGTCTCCATCATATCATCTATCGCGCGTAACGCGTATTTTTCCCTGCCGAGGAAACTCTCGCCGCGAAATGGTCGTAACTTTGACCGGGAAAGTGTCACGTCTGCCTCGAGTCTCGTCGCGATAACCGCTTTTCGTGGCTCGTGTACACAGAGGCCAACGTTTACATAGCCTTTGTTCTTCCAGATGCTGTTGCGGCAGTCTTGGAAATACAGGCGAAGACGTTAACCCTCTTTTTACTCGATGCTGAAAACAGCATCCTGT